CCCCGGGCCCCCCAAGTACTCAAGATTCTGCCCGCTACATTCTAGGTGTTTTCGAGATCTTGATAAGGGATCTTGGTTTTACTTGATCGTTTCTCGAACTCTAAATAACATTCGGATATCAGCAAGATGACTGGAAAAAAAGATTATGGCACTAGCTAACTCCGGAGATACAGTAGGTATCCGTCGTCTTGAACTTAAGTCCATGTTCATGTCGTGCTCTCCACGGTTTTCTTTTATCGATAGCCAAGCCATACTCCTCTTATCTATAGGCCGGCTCGCCGGTGCTGCACGGCGGTGATCCAATGCGTTTTCCCATCAACTCACCGAGTCTATCAAGAACAATCCCGTCCTGTAGGTAGACCCGACCGGGGCGGACTGGTTCTCCTGGTTGGGCATCTTCTGCCTTGGTGTGCGGGTGAGTACGTGCAGATGCGCTGCGGCAGACAAAATGTTGAGATTATTTATGTATGATTGTGTTACATAAGTATGTAGTTGTCGAGAAAGCAGACGAGCTCGTTGCCTATTTGGATAGACACTTGGCTGGGACGGAACTTCGTCAGCTGTTAGTTAAAATCTGTGGCTTTTGCGATACATGTGTCTACGCACGTACAAGTAGGATACGAGGCGTCATAAGATGTAATCAACTTGCAGCTTGTTTGAGGTGTGCGGAACGCTGTCCCGTGTACACCACCGCCACGGAGCGGCATCCGTCGCACGGTCGGGCTCGGTGTCGAGAGGTTTACGTAAAATATTGGAGTAGAGAGATGCATACGCGTACGGCACATACTCACTCACTCATCGACTATCACTCATGCTAAATGAATACGTACATACATGCCACACCTGCCCGTCGTGTCATGTACCTACCCAAGGTTTGACGTCGGACCTAGGGCTAGCAGCCGACGCCTCCTGCAGAGCGTGGTCGCACACTGATGTGATATCACATCAAATGACCTCACGCAGACGCCCGTGATTCGCCCGTACCCGGAAACAGGGCCGATACCGTGAAGGAAAGGGGGTCGGGGGTAGGAAAACAAAAAGGGCTAGACCTCTATCGGTAGTCGACAAAATTAATCGAAAAATTAAGATGGTTGGGGTAATCCCGATTAATGAGCTACGGTACCTAGAGGTGAAGGTGAAGCCTACACGATCTGATCATACAATGCATCTAATGCTGCAAGTATCCGTACAACAGGTGCGATCCGAGGCGGCATAATGACGTTTACACAATCGCATATGCAGCTCTGTTGAGAATCATTGTATGTGACTCTAGGCAGGACACCTGACCTTCAATCCGATAGACCTGTCTCCACGCGCCGGCGTCAACCTGACTATCAACGGGGGCTTGTGCCACGCGATGTAGTTCTTCTGGTTCGTAAGCCACTCGCTAGACTTGGACATCAGCTCAACATCAAAATTGTAGAGGAGCTTGGCCAGGATGACCCGTGTCTCCATGCGGCCCATCGTGAGGCCTATGCAGTTAAGCGGCCCCGAACTGAACGGCTGTGATTATTGGGAAGTCAGTATCTGCAGGAGCCAAGGCGGCGTGTGAAAATTGATTCCCCTAGGACGTAGACGGACTCACCTGGAACAGCTCTCGCGCGTCGCTGGCGTATCGCTCGTCGCCTAGCCATCGTTCGGGGACGAACTTCTTGGAATCCCTGAAGTAGTCTTCCGAACGACCGACGACTTGGTTGTGGATACCAATCCGGGTGCCCTCGGGGATGAAATATCCGTCCACAGCGCATCCTCCGGGTGTTACAGCTCGGGGATTGAATGATGTTGCAACCGGAGGCCAGATGCGCATCGACTCGTCGATGGCAGCTAGAAGATACGGTAGTTGAGTTACGGCGGTGGCAGTAATATCCTGCGCGGAAGCGAACGCGGTCCGGATCTCCTGCGTAGCCCGCTGCATGGTATCCGGGTGCTTGAGCAGGAGGAACAACGTGGTCGCAGACGCCGTCGCCACCGTCTCCGAACCGGCCGTCACGAGCATCTGGGCATTAGCATACATCTGCTCCTTGGTGAGCTGCTCGCCGCCGGCTTTGCTCTCGCTAGCAATAAACGACATGTAGTCCGGGTGGTCCGTCTTCCCGGCCGCCATCCTCCTGTCGACGAGCTCCAGCGTGGTTCGCAGGTGGTAGCTCTGCGCCTCGGCGATGCTCCTGGGCGTGAGGAACTTCTGCCACAGCCACAGCGCCCAGGGCGAGACGTCGTTGAGGGCGTGCATGTAGACGCCGCTGGTGAAGTACGTCATGCTGATGCGGATCCAGGGGTGCCACCGCTCCGTCTCGACGCACCGGAACACGTCTTCGCCGAAGACCAGGTCCCCCTGGATGTCGAAGGTCGCCCACATCGTGTACTTTTCTATGTCGACCGGCTCCCCCCTCGCCGAGGCGTCGCCCAGTTTCTGGATCATGCCGTCGATGTATCTCATGACTAGAGGCTCTTGCTCGCGCGAGGCCTTCTCGGAAAAGGCAGGGTTGAGCTGGCGGCGTATCCTAGCGTGCTCTTGCACGTCGGCCTGGAACATACTCGGGACGCCGAAGGTGTCTTTGCTCATGGCGTTCCGCGGGTCTCGCGTCATGGGCCCTCCTTTGCCGTAGCGAGGGCCGTACAATTCTTTAAAGTCGGAGGGTCCAGCACAGGAGACCTCGTCGGGACCGACTCGTACGATGGGGCCGTACTTCTCGTGAAGCTCGGCGAACTTGTAAGGTACCCAACCCTGCGCTCGGGACAGACTTATGGGTAGAGGCGACATGGCGTACAATTTGGGGCCCGGCAGGGGAGCCAGGGGGTGGAGGAAGACATTGTAGATGGCCTTGGTGATTCCGAGAGCAAGAGCCTTGCACTCAGTTCAGCTGGTATGAATCTATACTATGGGTTTGAATCAGTCTTACCAATAGAATAGCAAATGTCAATAGCTCTGACAGGGAGCTATTTCGTAGCGGTGCTACGAATTGCGTATAGTCCGTCGACATTTTGGCTTGCTATTATCACTAGCAGAGCTCAACTACGAATTTCCAGGAGCTCTAGCTCTAGCCATGGTAGGATGGCGAGTTCTTTAATACCTGGTACCTTATCACTGCCATCATAGATAGCTACTACTTTCACCAATACTTACTCCCGTAGATCCAGAACCGCCTGTGGTTGCGGGGTGCTATCGGCGACGCATCGGGTATGCTACGTGAAAAGGGGGGATGCTAATTATGGCGATAGGTATATAGAGTATGGCAGAAATTCGGTGTTGTGAATTACCCAGCCATCTTGGCCGCTGTGATGTCGGCACTTGGGATGGCCACAAAGTTGCCCAGGAATGGATGAGGAGTCGGTATCATCCCGGCTATCGGGTTGATGTCTGATTATTCTCATGTACATAAAGTCTTTTGCCCGGACACTGGGATCGGTTATAGCAGTCATAAGCTTGCCCAAGACAAATCAATCAACATATAAAGCCAATGGTGAAGCAGCAGAGGCTATAGCTACATAAAGGCAATTATCCCTCACACTCTCTTGGGTCTGAGACTCGAGCTATAGAGAAGTTATGAGAGAACCGAGGAAGTGGATATCGGCAGGTCGAAGTAGTATATCTGTTTGCCTTAGAAAAACCTATAGTTACTAATATAATAAAGTATTTAAATTAGCTACTTATTGATTATTGCATTAAGTAAAATACAAAAGCTTGTATAGATTCTATACTAGTGGTTATGAGTCCGAGGGAATATGAGTTCCGAGAAGATGAATTTCTCCACTAAACCCCCTATAAGGTAAGAGACTACCTAGCGGCTCAACCCCCACTATCCCACCATCAACTTCAATTGAAAGACCACCAGAGAAAACAGCTACCCCACATCCAAATTTCAAGGTTACCTCCCTCCTATTCCGTAGTTTGAAGGCCAACTCACTTCAACGACGACGACCCACTCCATCACCGTCGAATCGCCTTAAGTACCACACAACTGCAAAGATGTCGCACGCGAGAATAGAAGAAGTGTCCGACAGCGACCTGTCGGACCCCAGCGAGGGCGACATCGACGACTTCGTCGAATCCGACATCCTGCGTCCCATCAACCCGTCCTCCAAGCCCAAAGCAGCACCCCAACAACAACGACAACAACAACCACAGTCCGCATCCCACCTGCAGCACCCGTCGGCCTCCCCGCAGACGCAGCAGATCCAAGCCAGCGACATCAAAGACTACCAGATGCTATACCCGGTATACTTCGACGCCACGCGGTCCCGCGCCGAAGGCCGGCGCGTCTCCCGCGCCCTCGCGGTCGCCAACCCCCTCGCCCGCGAGATCGCCGCCTGCTGCGCGACCCTGCGGCTGTCGCCCGTCTTCGAGGCGCACCGCGTGCACCCCAAGGACTGGGCGAACCCGGGGCGCGTGCGCATCAAGCTCTCGGCCGGCGCGCCCGTCAAGAACAAGCACCACCTGTACGTCCTCGTGGCGAAGCACTTGCAAGCGCACCCGACGACGGACGAGAGCGACGCGTTGAGAAGAGTAAGGGTACCGGGATTACACGCTCCCGGCGACGACGAGCCCTGGCCGAGACCGGCGGTGCCGCGCGGCTGGAAGATGGGCGAGCTGCTGCCGGCGTATAGCGCGGCGATGACGGGGGGCGGGGTCAGCGAGAACGCGTTCAAGGATATGATGAAGGAGATGCAGGGAGGTGGTGGTGGTGGACCTGGACCTGGTGGGATGCCTGCGGATATGATGAGCATGCTGGGCGGTATGGGCGGTATGGGCGGTATGGGCGGCGGTCCCGGAGGTGCTGGGGCCGGCGGTGCGGGAGCGAGTGAAGGCGGTGGCGGCGGTGGGAAGAAGAATAAAAAGGGAAAGGGTAAATAGTGGTTGAGCATTGAGAATAGAGGTTTCTAAGTGGCCTTGTCTAATCTAGTCTATTCTGAAGGCGAGGTAATATGGAATATTCAAAATAATCAGGTTACGGCAATCTAGTAAGCCTCGCTTCGAGTCGAGTTAAATGACCAAAAATGAATGATCTCCCCGGGGTTCGAACCCGGATCTGCCACTACAAGAGCGGCCATGCTACCTAACCATTACACCAGGAGGCCCTTGGGCTTTGTTGTTACAGATGTACATGCCATCTGCTGACACAACTACCTAACCTACCTGGTAGGTATCTTAGTAGTGAATTGCTCGAGTACCGAGGGTCCTACCTGGGATTCGGTTCTGTGTTCCGCCTCTTTATCCCTCCGTCGCGTTCTTCAGTTCTTCAGGCTGATAAAAATAGATATTCAACACCTAAGCGGTCGATTGTAACGATATAGATGTATTCGTTGACGACAATAGCCCCTTTTACCCCTTATTTGCCACTTAGTATTAATATAGTAGCTATAGCCTCATACTTAAACCACGAACATAATACCACGTAAGACTAAATTATATATCAATAACGATTTCAATTTTACCCCATACACCAAACGCTAGCTATCCAGTTTGCGAAGAGGCTATGAGCGCGCGAAGTAATGATACAGGTGTTATGTATAACAAAGGGTATCTCTATCTAGAAATCCTCTCCTCTCTTCTACTTTCCCCCCTTTTCATCTCCCCCTTTTCCTTCTTTCTTTCTTCCCCTGCTCTCCCTTCTCCCGATGTAATTCTACACGACAGCCATCAACCCATCTATAACCCCCCAAGCCTTCGATCTTACACAACAACCGCCAACCTCCCCTGCAGGCCCTCCCACTCTCTCGACCCCACAATCTGCACCTCCCTACCACCTCCACCCGGAATAACCTTCCCGTCGACCCCCGGCAGCCGTATCTGCAATCTAGCCGCCGCCTTCCGCAACGCCATCTTCTTCGCCTCGCGCTCCCTGCCGTTCCCGTTCTGCGCATGATCACCACCACCACCACCACCAAGCACCACCCGCGCCTTCTGCACGATCGACTCCTGCCACCCGCGCCACGCCGCGTAGTCCTCGGCCTGCCTGGCGGCGTGGTACCGCGGCGTATCCCTCGCGGGCCGCCACGCCATCTTGTCCTCGGGCAACTTCCGGAGGTCGTAAACCTTGGTCGCCGCGGCCATCTTGAGGAGCTCGTCGAGCGCGTCGCGGCCCTCGGCCACGACGAGCTGCCGGCGCTGCTCGGCGACGGGCGGCGGCTTGCGGAGGGGCTCCGCGAGCCAGTCGTGCCGGGACTGCTCCGTGGCGCGCGCGCGCCGGTTGTCCTCGCGCAGGAACCGGACGGCGGCCTGCAGGGCCGCGATGTCGTTCTTGAGCGCGTCCATCTCTCTCGCCGTGGCGACGGCGCGCTCCTGGCCGGCCCTGGCACCACCCTTTCCGCTCTCGCTCCCGTCGACGCCGCTGCCGCCGCCGAAGGCCCGGCTGTCGCCCGCGATCTTCTTCCACTTGTCGCGGTCGGCCTCGAGCGTCTTGGCCTCGCGGTCCTGCTGCTCGATGTCCTTCTTGAGAGCAGCTGCGCGCTCGTGCGCCTCGGCGACCTGCGCTTCCAGGTCCGCCATGCGCGCCGCCTTGGCGCTGGCGTCGCGCATGCGGGCCTCGAGGGTCTCGATGCGGAGTGTCGCCGTGCTGAGGTTTTCGTCTCGCAGCGCGACGGCCCGCCGCGCCTCGTTGTAGTGCTCCTTGAGTTGTCGCAGCTCTTCTTCGGCGTCGACGGGGATCGTCTTGAGGGCGCGGAGCTCCTGCGCGCGGAGGATCCACGGCGCAGGGCTGCGCTCGAACTCTTGCGTCTGGGACAGGTCGGCGCAGACGGCGGCGAGGTCGGTGATCTGGCTAGTTAAGACGCGGAGCTTGGAAAGGTAGGTCGAGAAGAGGTCCGATTCGGCGGATGAGAAAGCAGTCATGACTGTACCGTGCACGGTACTCTGCACTTCGGGGTACGTGAACGGCTCCGCACGGCCTTCCTCACTGAGCAGCTTATGAAGATCCACTCCAATCTTCCGAGACATTTCGGCAAGCTCTTGGCTTGCAGCCTCGCACTGCTCAAATACTTCCATAGTATCAGGGGTCAGGGCTAGCGATCGTGCTCTGAGATCTTCTAGTGACCGTACGGCCTTGCTCACGACAACCTTGGTGCTGCGGGTCTGTGTAATAACAGCTTCCGACTTCTTAGCGAAATGCTGGGCAAGCTCATCTTCGTCGCCGTTGGGTGGTACCACTCTTTGGACCATATCCTTAATGACATTGAAAGCCGCAGCAGCTGATTCCAGGTGGCTCTGCATCAGAACCGATTTCATTTGTACCTCGTCTGCAAAACTCTCGAGTCCTTCCGAAATGTGAACTTCGCCCAGATGCGTCATGAGAGCAATCGTACGTTGGAGTTCACTAGCACATTGCTTCTCCTTTAATTCGTCACGTCGCAGGCCGTCGATCCAGGCATTAAGGGCTCTCTCGACGGGCTCAAGCTCGTACAAGGCTCCTTCGTACTTAGCGAACTCTTCCAGTGAGCAGTGGCTGATAGCGTTGACGAAACGGTCACACATCGAAGACACCCAGGTAAGCTTATCAAGGGCATCGCAACCAGCGAACACGTCGTCTTCGTGGCCCGGGTGCGGCTGTCCGTTGACACGATCCTTAACAAATCCATGCAGGAGGTTCGCCTTGAAAGCCAGACGGCTGAACCGTAGCAGCGCAAGAACGGAGTCTCTGTCGGCATCGTAGCTCTCGGGCAAGAATAGCTTGACGATTTGGAGATGCTGTTGTGCTTCTTGTGCGTCCATGCGCTGCAGCTCCAAATCGATGGTCTTGACCTGGGTCTTGGCTGCCGAGATCTGGAGCTTCTGGTTGAGATCCATCATCGCTCTCGACTTGCTATTGAGCTGTTCAGACTCGGCCTCGTTAACAGCGTGAGATGCGCGCATGTCTTCGAGATCAGTTTGCAGATTCGTAACGAGCTCTCGGAAACGAGATAGCGTGTACTCCATATCGCTAACCGTGTCATCCTTCTCAGCGGCTCGTCTCGCTTGCTCCGTAATAATACTATCCTTGAAATCAAGCTCCTCTTGCATTTCCTTTTCATTCTGGACGTGGTTGACCTCGAGCTCATCATTGATTTCCTTGAGTGCCTCAAGATCGTCTATTACGGCCTTCAGCTCGTTGATATGTTCGGACTGTAACAGTTTCTCGTAGCTGAGCTGCTCGATCATAGTCTCTGCACCCAGGTTGTCATCAAGCTGCTGTCGAAGGTCTTCGGCGCGAGTTTCGGATTCGAGTAATTTCTCTTTCGCAATCTCATACTGTTCCTTAATAGCTTCGAAATCTTCGAGGTCCTTTTCTAGCGACTTGATCTGCGCCCTCGACTCCTCTTCTTGCTGCTGGGTGAGGTCTCGCAACCTAATAAGCGCCTCACGCAGCCGCTCGTTGTGCCTTTCCATCTGTAGCCATCCCGCGCTTGCTCTTTCTTCAGGTGACATGCCCTTGGCGTATTCTGAATTCTCTTCGCGGAGAATTTCCACTTCGAGTTCGAGCTCCTCCGCCTTCTGCTTTAGAGCGTCTAGTTCGACCTTGTAGACTTCGGCAGTCTCCTCGGCCATCTCTCGGTCTAGGGTCGCGAGCTCCATCACAGACTCGTGTTCTGCCACGATACTTTCAACCTCCTCCAGTCGTTTCTCTGCCTCCTTGAGCTGGTTTCGTAAAGCCACGTTTTCTTGCACCGTCGCTTGCACTTTGCCCTCAATCTTCTTGTTGACGTTCTCGAACTTGTCCCGCTGCTCCCGGAGCCTCTCCATCTCTTTCATATTTTCTCTGTCCTCGAGTCGTTTCCGCTCGAGAACCTTTAGTTTTGCTTTCAGGTCTTCATTTTCTCTACTAACGGCGTTGCTGGCAGCCGGTCGAGCAGATACCGCAGTCGCAGCCGTTCTCGCGGACGTCGCGCTCGCCGGCGGCCTAGAAGACGTGGCCGACGACGGTCCCGCGGAGGTAAGTTTCTCGAGGGCCCTGGTCCTGGAGCGAACGGGGCTGAGCGTCGTCTCTCCGTCACTCTTAAAGGGAGAGCCCATATCCGATCTGTTCCCGGCCTCATTTCCCGAAAGCGAGTCCCCGGACCGTACTCTTCCCGAGGCGGGACGAACGACCCGCCCGCTAGAAACGCGCCCAGCGGAAGGTCTTATCGGTCCGCTCGCAGTTCTACCGATAGTGGCTGTCGCTGTCGATTGTCTTCTGGGGCCGGCGGCAGGTAAGGCTGGCGGACCCATGGACGTTCTGGCGCCTCCAAGCGACGGTCGAACCCTTCCGGTTCCGATCGATGAGACGCGGGCATTGGACGGGGTACCGGTTCTCGAGTTCGCAAGACTAGACGCGGCGGTCCCTAGTTGCTTCGTGGGAGATTTGGTAGGAGACTGCCAAACCAAAGATAGTTAGCATCTAGAAAGCAAAGGCGCATTGGATTAAATTGCACATACCCTCACCATACTAGAAGGTCGAGACGTCCTAGGCACCGGGCTAGGACTCGGGGCGTTCAAGCTCATGCGCTTGCCCATGGTAGGGTCCGTCACGGAGCTCGACCGTCCCGCCACCGTGCTCGTCCGGGAGGATCCTCTTCGAATAGGGGCAGGTGCAGCCTTGGGTGCCGGCGCCGGGGCGTTCTGCAGTATTGTTACTGTCGTCGGCCGCACGAACATGCCCCTGCCGGGCGAGCAGTCGAAGTACCGCTCGCCCTGGACGGCGCCGTCGTTCTTCCCGGTGTCGTCCTCGAGCTCGACGCCCACCCAGTCGCCGGCGGCGAAATGGGTCTGGCCGACGTAGCGGATGACGGCATTGCGGCCGTCGCTGAGGCGGATCAACTGCCCTACTGCTATGTCCGACATAGTTACTGGGCCAGCTTCAACTCACCCTACCTGGTGGTTACCAGTACATAATTGGGATGTTCGAAATTGGGGGGAAGGGGGAAGGGGGAAGGGGGAAGGGGGAAGGGGGAAGGGGGAAGGGGGCGTGCGTTTGGCGGTGACCCTTGGGAGCTTGGGACTTTTGGGAAGTTAGTTCTTAGTTCTTTGTTTCTACCTTAGGTAGGTAGGTAACACGCGTGTCTCCTTTTGCTTCGATACGCGAATGTTGACTATCGGTTGACTATCGGCCCTTATCGCGGAAAATTAT